AACTCAAGGCAAAGCTGCTTTCAACTCCACAGCATCTGGCCCTATTTTGGCCTCAATGCCTAACATCTGCCCAGTGGTCAACCAGCACTCGCATGTGAAAGCCGTTGTGTTTCTGTTGGCTCCTGATGGTTTTGTATTGTGTTTTGTCTTTTTTAATGAGTTGATATCACAATGTAAAGGACCCTAATGGCTTAACGGTTTCCAATAGAGACCACAAGTTTCCTGTAGAACACCTTTACATCCCAATATGATACCATCAAATTAACTTAGAATCAGACATTGGTCACCTGTTAAGCCATTAGGATCCTTTACATTGTGATATTGACCCATTAAAAGAGCCAAAACACGTCACAAAACCATCAGGATCCAACAGAAACACAATGTTTTCCATGGTTTTTTTCAGCAGGGATGGGGCTGATGCCGCATGTTATGCTGTACCATGTGTCATATGCAGCACCTCCAGTTCTGGAAAAATGTTCCAATGCCATTAATGATTCTCAGAGTTTGGAAGTAGCGCTCACCCTTACAAGCACTGTCCGTATCTTAAGTGTGAACTGCTAACTGATTATTCAAATAGAATCTTTCTGACATGTTTTTATATATTTATTATTATGCATAGCTCTTACCCATCAGGAAAAATTAAAAATATGACAGCAGTGAAATTTGAAGATTATCTTGCAAATGTTCTTATTTTATCAGTCTGTGGAGTGAGAAAAGACGAATAGCCGTTCTTCACATTTCAGAAATGAGTTGCAAATTGTGCAAAAACTGATGAAATGTTGTAAATACGTTTGTTTTCTTTCTCTCTACCAGCTCTTATCATGTTAACTCTGTGATGCTATCAGGAAACTGGGTCTGGATTTTGGCCTCTGGATCTTCATTCCATGCTGAAAAGTTTCTGGTTGTTGGTCTGAGTTCAGTCTGAAAGATCAGTCTGAAGCGTCATTCAGCTGGATTTTCTGCAGCACAAATAACCTTCCCAGAATGCAAGACACCAAGAATGTCATGGACTTATTCATCTTGCACACGAGCTTTGCATATATTTGCATATTAATGAGAAATCAGCCAATCAGAGAAGCCAATTAAATAAAAATTAAAATGAGTCTTTATAAGGCTTGTGATGTGAACGGTGTTCTCGATGACGGTGAAGGTGAGAAAACCCCTTAAAAACAGGTATTTCTTATGATTGAGAAGCCTAGTTCCATAGAGTAAATACCAGCATCGCAACAGGGACGTTTTTTTTTCAAAGTGCTTTTCAAAATGTTTCCACAAGTGCCTTTATGTCCTGTTTTGCTGGCTGTGGCCGCCGACCCGGGCCACCACCCCAAGGCTCAGGGCTGGCCATGGCCGCCGACCCGGGCCTTTGCCCCCAGGATCAGGGCTGGCCGTGGCCACCGTGTCCACATTCTCTGTAAGGCCTAAAGCATCTTCTGATTCCCGAAGAATCAGTGAAGTGCTCTGACCCCACCCATGGTAGGCAGAGAATGAGGCAGAGTAAATTTGGGCTGGCACATTGGCTCCACCCCTCCCACTGCTGAAGTGGCGGTCCTTGAGACCAGGCAGTATTTGCCTAGCCTGCCACCTCTATCGCATTGGAAGGGGAGCAAAGCATTTAGCACAACCTAAATGTATAAAAGTAAAAGCAGTTATGGACAGTAACTGCTTCAAGACTAGTTGTCAAATTGATGGTGGGTTCTGAGATCCACATATGGTAATATGCTAATTTCCTGAGTTACCATAAATGAGAAACTTGAGGCTCCAAGTTAAGACTAAACAACAAAGCAGTTTACTCTCCATTTGACACTGTGGTCAGAAATTTGTAATTACTAGACAATTTTCACATTTAGAATAACAATTTTTTATTAGAGGTTTGCACAGCATCTTTTGATACCCTCTTGTTTAGTTCTGGACAAGAGAGACTTCAAGTGTATTTTTTTTTTTCCACTTTACAAAGAACAAGCTTCTTCTTATGAACAGCAGCTTATGAACAGGACTGGCTCTCAAATTGATGGTAACTTCTAGTCATTTCTTGACACGGCAATATGGTAATTATGCAAATCTTTTGAGTTACCATGAATGAGAAGCCTAAGGCACCGAGCTACGTTTGACCAACCAAGCAGCACCCTCTCTTTGACATTATAATTTAAATTCAGAAGTGTAAATCATTTTCTTGTTGGTTTAAAGTCAAACATACAAAACTGTTCTTCTCATGACACAGCCTGTAACACTCACAGATAACAAGCTCTAGACTGTTTTACACAGATGTGTTTTTTTCTATTTTATAGTTTTTAAGTACTTTAGTACCAGTCTTCACGTTGATGGTAAACATTTCTGAGACACGTTATCTGCAAGACCACCACTTTCATACCCCCCAAAAAAGCCTAGAAAAGTCCTAACAGCTTTCTCCAAATGCAGAATAAGAACATGAAGAGTGCAGTTTCAATTTTAAGGCTGTAAGCATTTTTTAACTAGCCTTCAATAATATGGTAAGAGCTAACACAGCTGTGTCCGATTCAGCCTATCAGGCACTTCTGAAGAAGCTAATTAGCTGGAGTGGGTGTGGCTCATTACAGGAATCTCCACCCCTCTGATTACTGACCTGTTTCACCTGCTAACACACAAAGGTCCTGTTCTGAGGCACCAGTGAAGCCTTGAGTGTGAACTTTCTCCAGTGTTGAATCACATGATCCACCCAGTTTCCATAGTCAGGTTTCTGGACCTTTCACAGTCACCAGTGCTGCAGATGCAGTGGGATTCAGGATGGTGTCCAGATGATAATGTGCTTGATTTATCACAGCATTCACTTAATCAGTCAGATCTTGACAAGTTGAAGTAATTCTGATTTAGTTTCATTCAGCGTAAACAATGTAAGATTGGTGTTTGATATATTTTCACACGAGACTTTTCACAAACATTCTTTGAATTTGTAACAGTGTATTAACTTTTTGTCCAAACTTCATGACATTTAGCGGCCATTCTGTCGACAGAACGGAGGTCTCCTCTCATATTTTAATGTTCTTTAATAAAATATTTTGTCCCTGTACGTCTGTAATCAGATTAACTTGGACACTGTTCTCTCACTGTGTGTGAAATGCTGTCACTCTGTGTTGAGCTGCTAGTGAGCAACGAGGGGTGAAAGTGGAGGCATGAGACCCCCCAAAACAATTCACATTTGTTAAGCTTAAACAGGCTGCACTTTCTTCATGTCAAATAATAACACGTATACAACTGCCAAAATCAGCCATAATCCTCACTGGTTAGACTGATATATGTAAATGAGGTCTGTTCTTATTGGCTGACCTGCACTGGCTAAACTGTCATAGGCTGAATGATAGGGGCTAAAATTGTTTCAGAAAAGCAGTGATTTCAAAACAGGGTGTAGTTTACTTTCCATGTATGGATCTCAGAGTGAATGGCACATTTCTAAAATATAATAATGTTTACATATTACATCAAATATATTTATTAAAAAGTGAGGAAAATCAGTTTTCCATGATATAGCATATTGATTTTCAACCTTACAAATATAAATACACCCTTTGCAGTTGAATTATTTGTCAAATTATGCACATTGATTTTAGAAAATGTAGTTACCCATACACAGCTGAATCAGCATTTTGTGATTGAAATTTGAATAGTTTGATTTTTGCTGCACTTCTTCAGACTAAACAACCATTGTTAATACATGGGATTCATGTTTTTTTTTATTTACAAAAGCAGAAAATGAAAAACTGTAACACGGATATAGAATATTTTTATTTAAAGATCCGTAAGGTGGTGTGTTCATTAGTGAGAACCCACTTTTTTAAGAGTTCAGAGTTTTTCCTCTTGCAGCATCCGTCTCCACAGTGACTTCTCAATTTGACTGGTCATCCTGGTGAAACAAGCCAATCACATTCCAAAAACCTGTGAAAAAAAGTTCTAGCATGGCTGTAAAAAACAAAAAACAAATATGTCCTGTATCTAACAATAATCCCTCTCTTCTGTGGGAAGGAATAATTACAGTCCTTTACTGACTAAACTGAGCTGGCAAACTTTTTTTAGATCTTTGTGGCCATTTAACCCTTCGCAAATGTTGTATGGACAAACACCATGACATAACATTAGAGTGAACAACGACACAGCAAGCAATGTAACTAGCGTTAGCTAGGTTGTGGGTTAGCAAGCCGTCATTACACTTGCCTATTTTTAAGCTATCCAGTTACTTTCACAGACAAATGAGACAAAACAATACTGACTTTTTGGTTCTATGAAACTGTAAAATCAAGGTAATGTTAAGCAAATGCAATGAAGAAACAGAGCAGCCCCCTCCTCCTTTTTCATGCCTTTGACTCTCGATGAAGCTCAAGTCAGTTTTTTTTTTCCCCCTTAAATGGTGCGGCAGTTACATTCCAGCACCTCAGCTACTCGTTCAAGTTTTCCCATTCCACCTTAAATTGTGCAGCAGTTGCATCCTGGCACCTCTGTTTCTTGTTTGAATTTTCCTGTTTCACCTTAAATGGTGCAGCAGTTACATTCAGGTGCCTCAAGCAGAATTGAACCGCTGCACAGTTTAAAGCCAAACAGGAAAATCAGAATTGAAAACCCACTTCAGCCTCATCAACTTTTTGATATCTCCCCACTGCTGAAACGCCCCACTGTCAACTTTTGGAGGTCTCCCCACCATTGAAATGCCTCATAGTTCAGTCTTTTCACATGTTTTCAGCTAATATTTTTGAAATGTATGAAGTGTTTAGAAAGATTTTACACAGACTTTAAAGAAGAATCATTGTATTCATCTGGTTTTATAGCATTTTCTAAATGTGTCCCTACTGGTCCATCCTCTATTCCAATTTATCAAGCTAACAGAAAAGAAAAAACATGCGTACTATTCAAGTATCATGGCAATACATTTTTACCATATATATCACTGACTTTTAGATTAATGTATAGCGCTGAACAGCATTCGCTGCAATGTCAACACAAAGCTGTTATTGACAATGAAGGAAAATGAAAAAATATATTAGCACTTGGAGGTGGATATAGTTTACTGCTAAACATTTTTTAAATATAAACATACTCAGTTCAAAATTTTAATGAAGTTACAATAACAGCAGGTATGTATAAAGTCCTGAAAGTGATACCATATTGGATGGATATTGCTTCAGTGCTGCAGTGCACATTGCCTAAGGTTGCCGTCACCTACCCAAAACAAGTTTTTAATTAAAGTGAACGCTTACATCAGTACACATCCTCCATCAGCTTAACAGGCCAAAGGTCATCTGACAACAGAACAACCACAATGGCACCAAGCAGGACAAGAGGAGCTGTTAGAGAAATAAATGAAAAGACAGAGATAAATGATCAGTTGAAAGTATAGAGTCTCTCACATGTTTACATACAGCACGCCTTCTTACTGCAATACATTAACCTGATTATTAGCTGCTGTTAAGCTAAAGACAGTAATTGGGCAATAGTACACAGATATCCTTACACAACACAGCAATAAAGCATTTAAACTCTGTGGAGATGGTTATGGTACGTCAATGAGTGCATTTACATGCACTAAGTAATCTGATCATAATCAGCTTTCTGCAGTTATCTGATTATTCAAATGGCCATGTAAACTGCACACTGTGATTTCTTAGATCAGAGTAAGGTCTAGAAATCTGATTAAAAAATCTGATAAAGAGGCTGGATTTTAGCTCAGTAATCAGATTTCTCAGTGCATGTGAACTCTCACTCTGATTTCTTTCGGAGCTCTCAGTCTGCGCATGTGCGAAACAGACCGCGATACTTACCTTTAGCTGAGGTGGACTGCAGTGCATTGTTGCCTGTAGAAGATGAGCCGCCAGAATTGTTGTTGTTGTTGTTGTTGGTAGTGTTGGTGGTGGTGGTGTTGTTGGTGTTGTTGGTGCTGTTGGTGCTGTTGGTGCTGTTGGTGTTGTTGGTGCTGTTGGTGCTGTTGGTGTTGTTGGTGCTGTTGGTGTTGTTGGTGTTGTTGGTGCTGTTGGTGTTGTTGGTGCTGTTGGTGCTGTTGGTGTTGTTGGTGTTGTTGGTGCTGTTGGTGTTGTTGGTGTTTTTGGTGGTGGTGGTGGTGGTGGTGGTGCTGGTGCCGGTGGTGGTGGTGGTGGTGCCGGTGGTGGTGGTGGTGCCGGTGGTGGTGGTGGTGCCGGTGGTGGTGGTGGTGGTGCTGGTGCCGGTGCTGGTGGTGGTGGTGGTGGTGGTGGTGCTGGTGCCGGTGCTGGTGGTGGTGGTGGTGGTGGTGCTACCTACTGTTTAAGAACGTCTCAGTCAACAGTGACATGAGTGCAAACGTCCATGTCCATTTCATGAAAATGTGTTGTGGGCGATTAGCAGCATGAAAAAGTTGTATTTTGTTGAAAATGCTTACTCTGAAGTACATTAAAGTGTATCTAATCTGGTTCTAATGTTCTCACCTAAAGAGCTGGTTGAAGGTGGTGCAGTGTAGAGTTCTGAGCTGTTGGTGGGAAATTTGATCACCGGAGTCCCCAGTGTTCCTAAAAAAAGGAAAATAAAAGATTTTTACATTGTGTGGTTTCAAACACATGCACAAAAACATTTATAACTTTCTAGAGGAAAGAGAAAGTATATATATCAGCATAGATTTTTTTTCCAGCAGTAAATTTGATTAATTTCCAATGATTGGATAATTTTTAACAATAATCATAAAATGTGCATACATTGTTGCTAAAGAGCTGGCAGTTTACAAAAAAAAAAGAAAATTTACATTTTACTGCTTCGCCAAATTGACATTTTATGTCAGGCATGCACACAGATAGATGCACAGACAGGGGATTTGAGTCACTCTGCATGGCCATGAATTTTCCGTTCCACCTTAAATGGTGCAAAAGTTACATTTCGGCACCTGACTGCTGCACTATTTAAGGTGGAACGACAAATCCATTCAGATGAAAAGTAACCGACTGTATAGCAGTCTCAGTCAGACAGCTCTCCACGTTATTTCACTTTGTGTCTCAAGTCTTTCAGAGTCTTGAGGCAGAAGTCAGAGTCAAAGTCCGAGCCACTGGTGTTAAACTTGAAGACGAGCCACAAGTCTTTCTTGATTTTCTAGAGTCGAGTCTCAAGTCATCAAATTTGTGACTCGAGTCGAAGCCAAAGTCATATGAGTCCACACCTCAGGTCGAAAGCACTTCTACACATCTACTTTAGATTTCTCTTTGTTACTGATTTAATACCATTCATTTTGGACGTAATATCGAATGAGCAGATATAGGGATACTAAGATACTTAAACATAAAGTTTAGATTATGTTAGACGCAGACCTGATAGCTTATTGTAAATTAACTTTGCGCAATTAATATGCTGCTAACGCGAGTAATTTATTTTACTCTGTAACTCATTGCAGTTGCACTCACCATTGGTGAAGTTCCCACTGATGAGGAAAATGTTAGAACTGTTCAGCTGGGAGTTGTTCACAATTGACAAATTCAGACCGCTCACTGTGAACACGCACTGGATGGTAGAACCATTCACAGAACCCCCAACTAATGCTTCAGAGGACTGCAAAAGAAAAAAGCTCACTGTTATAACACTGCTGAAACATGCATGCAAATATTACAGACAACAAAAGAGGCAGAAAAAAAACAAGCTTTCCAAAGTCATAAGAAAAAACAGAAAAAGTCTGTTTCTAGGCCTGGGGATATTAAGGATTGCAGTAAAATGGTTTTAAAAATGATGTAGAATAGTTTTGGAGTATTTACGCCACATGGTATGAAAATACAAATTCTTATTATGCGTTCATATGGTCCTCATTAACTCATGAATTTTCCGTATTTACCACAAAGCCTGAAAAAGTGATAAGAATTAGGCAAGTTTATCTCAAGATAATTTTCTTGGGATCATCTTCTTTTTTGACACATATGTTATTCTCTATACATTTTGTATGCATCCACCAGAAAGCTATAGATGCTCTTGAATAAAAACCAATACCTTGCATATATTTCTGTAACCTTTACCCCGAAACAGTCTGTTAGGTTGTAAAACACATCTCAAATATTACTCTGATATAACAGTATCTGTTAGCGAGTACTGAAACAACGTCTCTTAAGTGCTATATAGCGGTCAGTTTCCATTAGAATAGGTCCAATCATGGATACACAACTTCCAGCACCCCAGAAAAAAGGACATGGGATCAAAATAGTGAGTGGAATGCTGACTGAATGGCGTATTAGTGCCATCTACAGGGCGGAGTGGGTAATGCACTTTCCCTGTATATATCTGGAGAATTATCTCAAGATAGAATAGCAGGTCATTTTGCAGGCAGGAGGTTTTTTTTTACCATGATAGAAAAACCCATGTCATTTTTTCCCCTTGTCCTTTTGGGAACCCCATAACTATGTTATTATTTGAGTGCATAACATGATGCAATTAGTGCTGCAAAGCAAACTAAGCACCCATCTTACACTGGGCACCTAAATAAAGAAGTTGACTCGCATTATTCTTCTTGGTAAATTTACTTTGTTAACTTTTAAACTTTACTTTTATTAAAGAATTTTAAAACTGGTTTCTGAAAAGTCATATAAACGTTTTGTCTTTGAGAGAACCTGAAAGCTCCTACAGTCAAGGTGCAATAATTTTACTTACTGAGTTAACCAGAGTTAGTTTGGAACTGTTGTTTAGAGTTGCGTGGATGAGCTTGAGAACTCCATTGTCACTGGCACAAGCATAGACATCGCTGTTATTACCCTAAAAGCAACAACACATTATAGTAAAATGGTTTTAAAAATGACGCAGAATAGTTTTGTATCTAATTACAAACCATGCTGAATTGGGATGAGTCAAAGACCCAAACACAAATAACAGCACCAGAAACTCAATTAGAAACATGCATGTGTTCTAAAGTCTTCTGATGCTAATATGGGTTTAGTTTACTGACGAATATTGATATGAACAAAGGCAGGAGTTGTGTTTTTTTCCATTCTATAATCTACAAATGAACTAGTTTCTGCAATCATACCATCTGGTTATTAACTGAAAAGGCCACACCGATGTAGCCGCTGGATTGTCCACTAAGCTCAAAGGTGATATTGGTTGAGTTGAGCGGCAACCCTGCCGAGAAAAAAAAGCAGGAACCGGACACTGCAGGATCACATTTGTCTGGTGTGGACAAGCAAGTCTTGTTCTGGTTACATCCCTGGTATGAGATACTTATCTGTCAAACACAAGATGACAACAAAAATTATAGTCATAGATCAAACATCCTGCAGTTTGGAATCGTATCAGCTTAAAGCGGGGTTTCTTCAACTTACTGCCTATAGCGCAGTTACAATTACTCCATGTCCCAACACACCTTATCCAGCTCATTAAGGGCAGAATAATTAGCAGACAAGCTGAATCAGGTGTTTTAGGGCACAGTTGAAACCCTGCATGGCAGAGGGAAATAAAATAATTTAAAAACTACAGTTTATACTTACATTTGAGACAGCAGCAGTGGTCTCAGCTCCCAACAGGATGAAAGCAATTGCAACAGGCATGAAGGGAAATATCCACTTAGCCTCCATTTCTAAAGGAAAATGAGACATTTTTCAAGTTGGCATCTCATTTACAGCATACAGTCTCATATTGCTAATGATCAGAGGTGGCCCTAAAGCCACACTTAGGTAAAATGCATTGTTATTTCTGTAAAATACTTTCCAAAGCTTGAGAAGAAGTAAAAATGTAGCAGGTCAAAAAGCTGTTAAATAGCTCAATTGATCAGATGAACATCTTAGTACATTCAGATAATCTAAGGTAAAATGCTAAAGTTCCAAAGTGAGAGTTGTGAGCAATGACAAAGCAGCGCAGATGTTGGTAAATAACAATGAAACTAAACACAAAAGAGAAACATCTGAACCCCTAAGGTGACAGAGTGATTATTATTTTAATAATAATTCAAATTACTTGAGACCACAAATTACTATCTTGAGGCCACAAATTATTATATGGAGGCTACAAATTGCTCTACCGAAGCCACAGATTACCACATTGAGGCCACGAGGTAGTGTAAACTCAGTATATTAATTTGTGGCCATACCTTAATAAAAAATAATCAGGTCACTTTAGGAGCTCTGTAAGTAAATGAATGTTAACTAAAAAGTACTTTAATTACAAATATACCTAAATGGGTATTCCACTGATTTTTCAGAATGTCTGTATAATTAAACAATTATGCTGTCATCATTTAGAGCAGATTAAAATTATGAGATTTGTTTATCTATTTTGTTTTAAATGTTTTGTTTTTAACTAGCAGCACACAAATAGGAATTAACTACTAGGCAGCACGGAGAACTGACCATTTGTTTTTCAGTCTTCGGTTTTCTTTTAGGTAAAGAAGTGTACCTAAAGAAAGTTTACCTGAATAAGTTGTCATCACTTGCCTTCTGTTCTCTGAACTCGACTCGAAGAGACTTTAAACACCACTTTTTACTCTCTGTTCTAGAGAAACTTTAAGAGTCAGAATTGTCCACAGTGGTGGTGATAGGAACCAGACGTCTGAAGCATTTCTTACTTCAGAAAGATCTCTCAAAAAATCCAAAAATGATTACAAATATGTTGCTTGATGTCTGAGGCATTGTATTATGAACGTTTTGAGATAAGATATTGGCCTAAAAAGTATTTCTTTATATAAATATATTCATGGTAGTGGGGTACATGCAGAGAGTTGTAGGGCAAAAAAGTATTTGTTTGGTGTTAAATTTACCATTATTCTACCATTATCAGCATTGCATATAAAATCTTAGAAGACATGTTGGTCCACTGGTGGTTTGTGGATAGTAAACAAAATGACCATATTTGTGTTGATTCCTATCACCACCACTGTAGTCATGTCAAGTGGTCTACAAATTTATTTATGTGAGAATAAATAAACCAGACGATTAACATACAGAACAATAAATACCCATGACGTGAGGGTCCTATGGCAGCATTCAGAGA